TTGCAGAAATGGTCCTTGTAATTTGGTAAAAAGAGATAACTGCAGAAATAGTCCCTGAGGGTAAAATTGTCATTTAAAAAAAAGTTAACAGCCAAATGTTAAAGTTAACGAAATAGGGACCAAAACCACAGCTAAACCACCAAATAAGGACCTTTTTTGCTAATAAATGTTTTTTTGGACCTTACCCAAAGATATTGGCAAACTACAGGGACCATTTTTGCAATTTTGTCAATTTAAAATTTAAAACTTGAATTTAAAAGGAAACATATTAAATACAAAATATCAGGTGTAAATGTGATGTGTTAATTAAAAAAAGATTTAAAAAAATAAGAAAATGACAAATGGAAAAAAAAATTGTTCAAAATAACAACAAAATGACATGTGGCAAAAGGAATGAGAGTGTGACATGTGACAAAAGATCTTTATTTATTAGAATAGATTATTATATTATTTTATTATTTACTAATTTTAGTATGACAAAAAAATTTGCTGTTAGAAAGACTCAAATTTAAAAAATTTAAAAAATCAATTGTGTGTTTTTTTAATTAGTTTGTTTTTATAAAAAAGTATATATTTGAACAAAACAATTGATTAATATAATTGATTAAAACTTAAAATTTATAAAAAAAATACTTAAAAAGTTGTGATCGGTGACCAAAAATCCATGAGACCATAAAGCCTAAACCTAGCCCGTTATTCCTTTTAAATATTTAATATAGTAAATTTATAACTTTATTTATTTTTTCGATGTAAATCTTAGATAAAATGATAAAATATGACAAGTTTGTTACATTAAATTATCAAAAAATAATTAGATTATGTTTGACGTACTAGCTGAAAAATTAGTTGTTAGCTGAAAAACTAGCGGTTAAAAAAAAAACTAGCTGATAACTGAAAAACTAGCTGATAAAAAATAATGTTTGGTAAAATAATTAGCTAAAAAGATATAAAATGATAGAAAATAATATTTAAAATAATGTGTTTTTATAATTAATTTAGTGGTATATTTGAAAAACTTTTAAAAAGCTAGTCTAAGTAGTTTTTAAAAAAATTAATTTATAAACTACTTTTTAGATTGTCAAACATGACAACTTAAAAAAAACTAAAAAAATAAACTAGCTTATCAGTTAGTTGTAACGCACCAAATTAATAAATTAATAAAACTAACGTCTTAAACTTTTTTTATTAGCCTAAAAGAAATTGATAAACAATTTAATAGTAGTTTTATAATCGTACGGACAATATAAGTATACATATGTACAAGACACGATATTTTCCTATTCATCATAATTCGAACAATCCTACAAAACGATGATTTGTTTATGTTCTTGTGCCTAACGTGATAACCATTGGATTATCCAATCAAATTATTTGTGTAAACCCACACGTATATTCAAATAAATTTAATGGAAAATGAATTTCTAAATCCTAAAGCCTTTGGCCTAAACTCAAAGAATACAAAAGGATATGCTGTCAGAGATGCAGAGTCTAGAGGCAGCAGTAGTGTGACAACAATGCTAGATTTGCACGTTACGGTGGCTATATCCGGAGACAGATGCAATGGCAGTGGCAATAGTGGCGCTACATCTGTATGCGGTGGCGACAACTGCAATAGCGACAACTAGATATTTATTAGCGTCGGGAGGCAAGAACTAGTGCTTCGGCGAAGACGATGTAGCTTTTCAGCGATGCCAGTCAGGGTTCCAGCAAAGTCAACATCCGAAGTAGCTGGGTTTCCGACGAGATCCGAAACTCTGGCGTCATTTTATTAGAGAGATTTTATTTAGGATGACAAAGAAAAAAAATTGAGAAGGAAAAATAATTGGGCATGGAAGGCATCTTTGGCGACTACTAGAGATGGTCGTCAGAAGTGGAGGTTGACAACAAAAGGTTGTGGTCAGTAGTAGCAGCAGAAAGTTTAACCTAACGTTCTGAAGTACCTAAATACCTCACACGACAGAACATATACAATCATGCATGTTGGGTCCACAGTCATCAGACTGGATTACCCTCGCGTCCACAATCATCAGACTGGATTACCTCTGGCCCACAGTCATCAGACTGGATTGCCTTGGCCCAATCAGTCACCGGACTAGAATGCCCTGGTCTGTTGGCTTACACACATAGTAGTAAAGCCTCAACTCAACCCGCACTATGTCGACATATGCAACATATAAAACATATAAGAGTAAACAAAATAATCATGCAAATCTAACATATCACCACAGCACAACAACATCCTATATACTATGATACATAACCTAGTGGGCGGGCATTGATGTCTTCGACCCACAAGTATAGTGAGGAAAACTCATCT